CGTTTCTATGGATTTGTGACACTTTTGCATTTCTTAAACGAGTTTTGGTATCTTAAGCCGTTCGTCAATATAACTTGCTTTTGGTAGGAAGGCGAAGTCGAAAGGACATGGAATCTCTCAGCCAGCTTCTGTGAGACAACACTCTGCTACTCTGAACACAACTCTGTCCGGAACTGAACTGCACTGCCTGGGGAAGTACGTTTATATGGATACCGACCAAAATACGGCGTGGGGCCTGACGTGGCTTGGGTTCCTCAATAATCCTTGATTCCCAAAAAGAATTCTCTTTGTTCTTAGGCCAGGAAAATTAATTACTTCCCATTTTTGGAAGATTAATCACTTTCCATTTTGGGGCTTCTCCCTTGTCCGTGAGGGGAAGTTGGAGGAGAGTTATCCTCCTAGACTCTCTCACATTGGTATCTCATACCAATCTCTTTAGTGGGTGTTAACAACTTCTCTGCCTTTCTCATACATTCACCTCTGCCTATCACTCATGCTACTACTTGATCAATGATCTCTTGGCAGTGTGGGTGTGGCTAGACTGAACATCTTTTCTCACCTTGACTACTATGAATAAGTTACCTGTGATTAAATGTGGGGGAGGGGTACTCATTTGGCAGGAATAATGAACCATTTAGACATGTTTCTTGCAAACTGCATTTGTTGTCAAGAAAAAAACAAAAACAAACAAACAAAAAAAAAAAAAAACAACAAATAACTTTAGTATGACAGTTACTAGTCTAATTGCTGTCAAAAATCTTCAATTAAGGGACTTTATAATCATACTGTGTTGTGGAAACAAATGAGGGATGAAAGCTCCAACACTCACTGATATCCCTCTACCTTTTAAAATGGCTAGAAGAAATATTTAAATATAAAGGATAGCATAATTCTATTTCCTGTGAATGGAAAATTATTGTTGCTGCAAAGAAAGACTTTAATAGACTGTTTGAATAACAAGAATATTTGTTGCAGTCCCTGTTGAGCTCCATAAGAAGCCAACATATTTTTTACAAGATTTACATCTATATTAACTGGCTGGAAGCCTTCATCTTCATCATCAATATCCTTTGAAGATGACAGAGTGGTCATTTTGGGGGGTGTTCTGCTGGGGGTCATTTAGAGTTTTGTAAGGAAAAAAACAAAAAAAAAACAGATACATACACAGAAGACAAAAAACAGGATGAGAGTACAAAATGATGACAACATGTGATGTTCAGTTACAAGGTGAAAAAGTGGGAATATCTATCAAAATTTGTTATGGTCAGGACAAACTAGAAGCCTGTTAACAAGTTTTAATAATAAAAAACGTCCATGCAGTCAATCAGTAATAGTTGGCCAAAGGCTAGAAAGTAATCCATCAAGACACAAATACAATAGTTAACAAAATTTATTAAAAAAAAAAAAAAAAAAAAAAAAAACTTTCCTTAACAACAAAGTCCATTAATAGACATTAAAAGTCTATGGGAAATCAATTTATATTACAATAATCTAATTTTTGCATATCTGTAAAAAAAAAAATCAGCATAATTTTAATGGTATTATGCTAACTTTGAGAATAAAGCAATTTCCATTCTAATTGAGGCCACTAATTTTAAGGATGAAGCAGAGAAGAAACCTTGACATCTGCACTCTTCATCAGCCAGAGTGACACACTAGAGATAAATTAATAGTAATCATGATGAAAATATCTGAGTGAAAATTATCATTTGCAGATAATTTTGCAAATATGACTTGATATCCAGCAGAGGCTGCCTAAGGTGGCATTTAATTGACATATCCAAAAAAATTATTTTCTTCTATTGCAAGTATATCAGGTTCCTAAGTTGGTTCTTTTTTTGGCTGTGTTGAGGTAGCATTTTTTAAAAAACCTGTTTAAGTCATATCCAGTGATTTCTACGAACTCTCGCCACTGAACTCCTCAATAAGTAAAAACAATAGGATGTCACTACAGTTGAACTGTGTAGGCCTACAAGTTTGTGGTTAATGATAATATTATAGACAGTTTGTTAACTGTTATCCATTTAGTGTAAACACTAAATGGATAACATAATTAGTAACCTTAAGTAACATGCAGTGATTGTAGTTACTGAGGAAGTCAAGGGTAAACCACTTGAAGGTGATATATATATGTGGGGGAGGGGATTGTGGGGCAGTTAAACAATGAAAGTGGGTGAGAACATTATAACTTAGTGTGCATGCATGACAGAGTTCAAGGTCAATCTGTATCAAGCATCTTCACTCTTCATAACTGTAGCTTAGTTACCTTTGCATCAGTCTGCATACTTTTTGATCAGACCTCACATATGAATATTGTTCATGTTACTATTTATTTATTTTTAATTTAATTTGAATTAGTTTCAGCAATCACAAAGTACACATGTGTATCAAATGTTTTAGAATTTTCATTGATAATCTTTTGACTATATTGAAAGAAACAGGACTAATTTGGATCTTGGTGCCTGCAAAAAAAATGGAGTGTCAAAAGGATGTTTCTTTTTTCATTGACACTGCTATTATTTTAACTATTTTCCATCCTCAAAAATTAATTATTGTTTCAAAAAGTGATGATTAGAATTGTAATAAAACGTATGCTGAAAGTGAATTTATAAATATTTTTTGTGCTTAAGAATTTACAACAAAAATATTAAACACTATTTATTTGATTGTTTATTTACAAGAATAATTTTATATTTACAACATTCTAAAAGCTAATATTTATCATTTACCAATTTATAAAGAGATAAATCCCAAAAAATGTTTTATTCATAAATTTATAAACATTTACTAAATTATTAAAATATATGAACCAACTATAACGAAATCCTTATTTACCATTTTATAATGTTTGAATCAATTGGCAATTAGCCAATGTTTTGCCAGCCATCCCAATAAACAATATAATAAATAATCTAATAAATGGTGCTTATTATTTTTGCTGTCAGTTATCAAGAACAAAAAAAATAAATTCATTTTTATATCATAATCACTTTTTAAAATGATAAACATTGCTGAGAAGTGAAAGTAGTTAAAATAATAGCAGTGTCAAGAGAAAAACTGTTTGACAAATTTTTTTGCTGGCACAAATGTTAAAGATTGCCAAAGTTCTTTATTCCCATCAGTCCCAGTTTGTTGTATTTTACAGTTTTTCATTCTACTTTAGAACATAACAATACAAGTTGGTTTTCTTTCAGAAATTTATAAGCAAAGCAAGCCAAATAAGTTTGTTAGCGATTCCAAATATTAAACCTTATCTCTTTAATTTCAACTAATATTCATGTTCTAACAAACTGAAAATATTTGATAGCTTGAAAATGAAAAATACATAAGTGATCAGTAGAAATAGATAGCATAACAAAAATACCCAAACTTCAGAGATATAATCCGTATGAAGAAAAGAAAAAAAAAACAACTTAGAATGAGTGATCTTAAAATATTAATTCAACTTTGCATAAAGGTGAAAAATTGTAAAATTTATACATGCTTATTTCCTTTGGCATATTTTTTTGAAGTTTGTAAATAGGTTTTTATTTAGAGAAAAGTATAAATTAAAATTTCCAAATACAAATCAAACTTAAGATTTTCTTTTTGCTCACATATAAATGAAATATTGAAATATGAAATAATCACTTTAAAATTTTTTTTTTCATTCAAATTTTATTTTTCTCCTGTAAACAGATTATTCAAAATCACTGAACAACTAACAAATGTTCAAATCTCTAACAAATGCTCGTCTTTTGCAAAGTGGTAATTTTGAATATAACCCAGATATAAATACAAATAAAATTATAAAAAAAAGACACAGAAACTGGTGCAATAGCAATCCTACTGCATAAATGGAAGTATTAGATATAGTAGTGAGTCGTCAGAAGAATGAAGAAAAAAAAAACAAAAAAAAACAAATGCATTGTTTTCAGTAAAGTAGACTATGATTTCTGTGAATGGTAAAATAACACCTTCAACATGAAAAAGAAAAAAATTTCTGTAGAAATTCACCATTCCTAGAAAATGGCAAAAATCTTTAATTTTATTTCGTAATTTGAAAAAAGACATTATAAATATTGGTATTTAGTATTGGTCAGGTTTAGATAATAGCATTTAAGTTTCTGCAGTCAACACATGCCCACTAAAGTCCAGGCATCGACTTTGGTACTGTATGCAATAGCTTAATAATACCTACCTGAAGTAATGTTATATATTCTTATTTTTTTTTCAAATTGATGAAAAAAAAAAAAAAAAAAAAAAAAGATGCTTGTAGCTTTGCAATCAATTCATAAGGCAACAAAGAAAGAATATAAAATTTTGTCTCCATATTAGTGAGATCTCAAAATCTGAATTGAGCTTCAGTTATTGTAAATCAACCAGCAATGGCTAATTCCATGAATGCCAGAACTGACAGCCACAGCTAATGGCAAAGCTACTCAGTTGGTATCTGTCATGCTAGAATATGCTGAGGTCTTCTGGTCTGGAAAGAAGAAAAGATGTCCACAGTCTAAATCACAGAGGTTATTATTGTGACAAGAGGTAATAATGGTAATCATTTTACTGATCCCTCTTTACCTCCAAATCTTACTATTTTTTTTTCTTTGCTTTCTTTTAATCTTTTTTTTCATTTAGCACACAAATGAAATAAGAAAATAGTTACTTCTACAGAAATATTTAGTGAATCAAATAATGATTGATACTGAAGTGACTGTTAAATAACAAACTTTTGAAGGTATTATCTTTCATCACACTAGCAGAATTATAACTTTTGGAAAACTAAATCTACTCTTCCTAAACATACACAACTAATTTCCAGATAAATCATTTTTTTTTTCCTTGTAAACATCTTTTCTTCATTTCCAAGTTAAATGAAAAGCCAAAAGAAACTTACTTTGGAAATTCTGCTCCTTCATAATCCGAAATATTATCTACAAATGACTTCATGCTCTCTGTCATTTGGCTCAGATCAAATGGATTTGGAGAAGTTCTGGAAATTTTTCCTCCTGAACTTCTAATCATATCATCAACTTCATCAGGACTAATATCCAGCCAAGAATCATCTGATAAAACAAGAATAAAATCAAGAGATTATTTTGCTGGTGTTTTAATCTTTTTAGCAGGGAAGTTCATAAGATTTGATTAGTTTGGTTATCAAACAAAATACCCAAAGTCATTGTCACAAAGAAAATATTCTTTACATTTTCATCAGACATTCTATTAGATTAAATAACCAGTACTTATTTAGATCACTCACCAACACTTATTTAAACAAATTTCAATTATTCTTAAAGGCATGTAACTCCCTTCTATTCAACAAAGGACTCAAAGTCATCATGCTAACAAAAGATAGAAATGGTAGAACTACAGACATATATAATAATTTAAAATATTTCCTTGTCTGCAACTGTCAATCTGATTTCTTCTTTTAGAAAAAAACAAACATCCCTCTTAATCTTCATTTAAGGAAAACTGTCATTTATTACAGTTTATAAAATTCACAATTACAATAAAAACAATTTATACATACATTTTGCATGATCCTGTTAATGTTAAAATAGTTTATTATTTAGCAGATTTAAATTAAAAGCTAAGTACATAAAATGAAATGTTACCATCTGGTGGAGGAGGTTGATCTCTTTCAGCCTCATCTCTTCTATGCTGTATGGTGTATTTTCCAATAAAGTGAGAATTAAATTTCCAGTATCTTCATTTTCATGTCTTATGCGTGTCCAAGCAACTGCTCCACTCACACTGGTCTGATTTCAATGATTCATAGCTCATAGTTAAGTGCAGGGAATAATTTTTGTTTAGGTCAGATTCATGGTTGCCAGATTATGCGAGGTTAAAAATATATATTAATATATTATACTAGCCATTATCATTGCTTTCATGGTTCAAGGGGAGTAACTTTTATTTTCCTTTTGTATCCAAAATTGCAGCTAGCTTAAAAGCTGCCCTATCGGGTGTCATTTAAGCTAGCTCCTGTGGTGGACTTTTGATTGGTCATCATCACAATAGGTAGGGAGGAATAGATGCAATAGGCATCAATAAACTACAGAAGAACTCAAAAATTGATTGCTGCATTCAAGTACTGAATTAATGTTTAAGCTTACCTTTTTAAAAGTTCAACGATAATTCTTCTGCTGCTACGTAATTTAAAGGTGATTTGATGTAGATAAATCCTTATTTTCCATACAAACAATTATTTTTATTTCATGGGTGACAGAACAGGAGACAATTTATAAAATAAAATTAATAGAGTGTAAAGATGGGAAAATAGAAATTAGAACTAGTTATGCATTCAACATTTGAAAAGTTAGAGAAACATAACAGCTAATTAAGTAAGACCTGTATTATGGAATTTATATGAATAAATGCAAAATTCTCAGTTCTCCCACAAATTCTGAGATTAAAAAGCCCCAGTTCTACTTTATAATAATTTGGTATTTACTTGCCCCCTCCCCTCCCCGCAAAGTCGCATTGTAAGGTTGGTTTAATATGGAGAGCCCAAGTGCGTACCCCCAGACTTGGAACAAATATTCCCCGAGCCACAGGAACCACTGGTTGCGTTGGCCTCGGTGCAAGCATTGATCCCTCTCTATAGTGCAATGAGAGGCTGCAGTCTTGAGCAGCTGTTCCCAAGGGCTGGCACCTCTCAGTATAATTTTCCTCAGTTATGACTGTCCTTTGACGTAGCTGCCCCTGAGCACGCACTGTCTAAAGACAGAGAAGCAACTGAAAAATGATAAATAAACGTGTTACAAACTACTTTATAATAATTTACATACGGAATTTACTTGGTCCCCAACTAGGATGAGATGTGACACAAGGTCTATTTTTAGGTGGGGACCCGAGTGCGTACACCTGGGAGAGGAACAAAAATTTCCCTCAGCCCCTGCAACCGTTGGTTGTGCTGGCCTTGGTGCGAGCCCCAATCCCTCCCTCTGGTGCACAGCCCCGGGCAGCTGTTCCACCAGGCTGGGCACCTATTCAGTATTATTTTCCTTAGATGCTCCTCTGTCCTTTGACAGAGTAGCAACTGAGAGATGATAAGTAAATGTGTAACTACTCAAAAAGAGTAATTTAAACATGGTATTTACTGTCCCCACACTAGGACAAGATATGACACAAGGTCTATTTTTAGGAGGGGACCCGAGCGCGTATGCCGGGGACAAGGACAAAAATTGCCTACAGCCCCTGCAATGTAGGTTGTGCTGGCCTCAGTGTGAGTACTGATCCCTCCCTCTGTTGCAATGGGAGTGCACGGCCTCGGGCAGCTGTTCCCCAGGGCTGGGCACCTCTTCAGTATAATTTTCCTCAGTTGCCCCTCTGTCCAAGGACAGAGACGCAATTGAGGGATGATAGATAATGCGAAATACCTCCAAGGAGGGATTTACGTGCTAAAAGCTCAATATCTCTATTATATATTATCTACTTCTAGGCAATATCACTCTTCAGGTTTAACTAATTTGCATTTTGATTTTAAAAAAGTTTATTTCATTAATTATCCTTCATTACTGTTCTTTTATTTGAAGATTGTTTTGATTTTCATATCAAAAATAGTTCTGTTTAAGAATATAGTCTTATCTAGTGAAGAAAAGTGTTTAAATTTGCATTTTACTTGGCCTTCAACAAGTTGGCATCTATTTGTAAAACTTTCCTTAACAAGCTAATTTATGAATGAAATGGGCATTTAAAGCTTTTGTTTCAAAGATTTTAAGTAGTGAATATATCTTATTTTGTGAAGCAATAGCGAGCAGGCAAACTTGCTAGTATTTACATATAAGAGGTTTTAGTCTGCAGTGTGAGAATAAGTCATTCTTTGCATAATGTCCAAACTTTTTTAGAATTTATAAAAATTTGAGATTATATACCTAATAAAAGTAAAGACTGAAAAAAAATAAAACTTGATGCTTTCACAAAAATAAACCCTAACCAATCTATGAAAGAGAAATAAAATGGGTTTACATTTACCCAAATGAAAATACTTACATTTATGAGAGTTTAATTTGTATAGTATTGTTTCTTTTGTTACACATTTTTTTTTTTTTAAATTTAACTTACCTTTGGGAACTCTGAATATTCTCCATAAAATACTGCTGCACTTTTTTCAAGAGTTCTGTATGCGGTTTGGGAGACTGCAATTCACCCTAAAAAAAAAAAAAAAAATGCTTCTTCATAAGCACAACAGCTTTTTATTGTAGATATAATACATGTAATTAGAACTTTTGTGACACTGAACTGTTGGCCCGTGGTCAACCTCCAGTCGCATTGCAAAACAGTAATGTTTCTCCCACCGGCATTTTGGGGTTGACTCTTAGTCGCTGCCACCAGCCTGTGTCCCAGTCAATCGGTGGTCGTTGCTACTCGGTGGAATCCCTTTGTCAGGGTACCAATATGTGACACTGGCCCATCCATGGCCAAATCCTGGTCGTCACTACCCGGCAGAATCCTTTGCTCGGGGAACCAAGTGGGATGGTTGGTTGATGCTAACAGCTTCACACCAGTTGCAACTGGTTCAACACCAGCTCCGTTGTTCCCAGCTCACTTCCAATGTCTGGTTACCAAAGTAACTGCTTCGATCTGAAGTCTAACCTACCTGCATTAGTATTTTGATCTTAGGTAGACAAGATCAATCAGGCGTCAGGCTGTAGTGTAAGATGAGTCTAAATTGGAGGTGATATCGCATAAGTGTAAAGAAAAAGAAGCAAATAAAAACCCAAGAGGTTCAAGTATGTTAAAAAATAACAAATTAACTTTATCCGTCTGTTATATACAGAAGTGTGTTTTTCTCCCAGCCCGTTTTCTACAGAGTGTGACTCTTCTACACTTCTTAGACAAGTTCTGGTCTCCTAAGTCAAGTGATTTAGTTTTTAGGTACCGGCTTAGCTTCGTTCGTCAGTATAACTTACTATTGGCAGGACAGACGAAGTCAGAGATCATGGAATCTCTTGGTCAGCTTCTGCAAGGCAACTCTCTAGCTTCTGCCACTTGAACTACTCAATCAAACTCTCTTACTCAAACTACTCTTGAATGGCCTGAGGACATTCATTTATATGGGTACCGACCAAAAACCGGTGTGGGGTTAGATGCAGTCTGGGGTTTTCGGTAAATCTTGATTTCTGATAAGAAATCTCTTTATTGTCAGGCCAGGAAAATTGATTACTTCCCATTTTTGGAAAATTAATCACTTTCCATTTTGGTGGGATCTCTTCGTCCATGAGGAGAGGTTGGAGGAGAGTTATCCTCTTAAACTCTCCCTATCTCACACTGATACCTCAATACCAATCCCTTAAGTGGGCGTTAATAATTTCCCTGTCCTTCTCATCAAATTACCTCCATATATCATCATTGCTACCACTTGACCAATGGCATTCTGGCTGTACGGGTGTAGCTAAGCTGGCCACATTAAAATTATAACCCAGAATTTTTGTTTACAAAATTCTTTTTTCTCCATTGGCCAAAATTTTTTACGAATCACACATTGCCACTTAAAATCTCTCAGATCTTTTGGTCACTCAGAGTCTTCTTAGCCAGCACTCTTTACAAATTCCATCAATCACTTGTCAAAACCTGCCATCTGGTCCTTTCATAAAGTTAGCTTTTTCTGGAACCCTTGGCTTCTTGAGAAATTAAATTTCTTATCTCCCAAATCGCAATTCTTCTGTGATACTTTTTCTCATGCCAAAATTTTATAATCACCATATGTCTACTCAACATGTCGGCACCTGAAGACGACACTTTGGAAGAGTAAACAATAACAATTCTCTCCACCCTGTATCAGAATAAATATTTTCTCATGCCAAAATTTCCACAATTACCATATGGCTCTTCCTTGCCGGCACTCAAGAAAAAGGATATCTTGGGAAGATAATTAATATTGATTCTCTTTACCCCGTATCAGCAAATCATTTTGGTATAGCCTCACATGCCGAAATTTTTATAATCATCATATGGCCTGCCTGATATCTCAATGCTTTGCTTTTTCTGAATCTCGTGTTCTCTCAGCAAGCATTTTTTTTTTTTACAAACAGCATTAATCAATTGTCAAAAAGCTCACATATGGCTTTTCAGAGAGTTTACTGTCTACGCCAATTTACGGGGTATCTTCTTTTCCATTCTCTGTATTTTCTTTTAATTTCTATGGTTAATTAGTTAGCCAATTACCATAGCTAAATAGTGTCACACTTTTAGTAAAAGGCAGACTCAGCATTTTTGTTTAAGCTGATAGGAAATTAATAATATCACATTGTGGTTGCTAATTAATGACAGTTAATAATACATCACATTGGGTAAGTCACCAGATAAGGTAAGAGTTATGGAACAAATGAATATTCTCACATTTGCATTTTGACCCCATTACAGGCATTATTATATTCATAATATAATAATACATTAATACATAGAAGGTAAGAGAAGTTCCAGAGAGAGCTTTATGCCACTAAGTCATACATAAAATTATATACACATATTTACATTTGTCCCAGGTAGATAAACTATGACACATGTCTACACCACAAGCAGTGTGAATAGGTAATATAAGAGATAGTTTTACTTGTAATACTTCCCCAACTAGAATTTGACCTACCACAGTATTCTTGTGTTTCAGAAGCCATATTTAGGCTTCCAGATTTAAGAAGGCACTGATTTATCTTTTATGTCAGTATCAATGATATTACTTTCAAACAAGAAACAGTGAGTCATGGTTTTTTCTCAACCTGAAGACTGCAACCTGGAGATATATTCTCAAAGGAAAACTGCACCATGGGCTTTTAAACTATACCACATGGCAGCTGGTCGGGGAGGCAAATTTAGCCTTGGTTAAGCAGATTTAGCCTCTGCTAGGGATAATAATAATAATAATAAAAAAAGCAACTGCTTAGTTTGACACTTAGAAGCTGATTGACAGACTAGCCACTTCATAGACATCACAAAATGACCATCACGTAATTATCTCAACCAAAGAAAAAATTGCCTTTTGTATCCCCACAAAGCTTTATATATTTAAAAAAAAAAAAAAAAAAAAAAAAAAAGTGTTTTTTCAAGCTTATTGTGTCAATGTCTGCATTTTTAACCCTTTGACTTTTGCACAAACAATATTTAGTTTTTTTGTTATTATATATATATTAATGAGTTTATGAAGCCTTCAATAAACACATCTACTAGCTTTAAAGTAAATCTTTCAGGAACAATATTTTTATATAACAAATAACAACTAATTTTCTTCATTCTGTCAGAGATAATATAATTTCTGAAGTGATTTCAACACAAATCCAGCTCCAAACACAGGCCCAGTACATTAAAGATAAAAAGATTCAAAGTTTTTAAAAAAATTACCAAAAGGAAGACAGTTTCTATTTTAAGTGATAAAAGTACAATGTTTAATTTTACAAGATTTTTATAGAATCACAGTAGCATAAGTTCACCAGACATATTACAGAAATCATTTTGTATTTATTAGCGCAGCTCAAACGAAACATGGCCATATTTAAAGTAGATTATCATTTTTTATTATTGATTCATTTTTTACAGCTTATCAACTCTTTGCAGGTTAGTAAAAGCCAGAAAGATTTTAGACTGGAAGATTTTTTTTTTAAATAATGAATTAGGGATACAAGTACAAGCATTGATTAGAAACATGTATACCTTTCTGAAAAGCAGTAAAAGACTAATAGAGCAATAATGGGAAGGCTCAGGATTCACCAGAGTTATTAAAAGCAAGAACTACATTGGAGGACTTCCAACAAGTAGAAAGTAATGAGGCAATTGTTGTAGAGTTTGGAGTAAACTGGAGCCAGCTCATTAGCAAATTTCTTTAGCATGACAGCAGGGATCCCATCACATTCGTTTGCCTTGTATGAGTCTAGTTTAGAAATGATGTCTGAAACCAGAGATGGGGTTATGCACATATCACTCATTAGAGCCTCTGTTCTAGGGGAAGAAATCAGCTGTGTACTCCAGATGAGTCTAGTATGGAGTTGGAAGAGAACTTCTGAGCAAAGGACTCAACTTTATCTACTGTAGATGTACTTCAAATTGATTGAAGAAAGGAAGGACTTACGATTTGCTATTGTTCCGCACACTCTTACGCCATTAATCTCTAGAAACAAACTTGTGAGAGACTATATGTTGTTTCATTCTATCAGCAAAAAATAACTTTGCTTCTTTGAGGACATGCTTGCACTCATTAAGGGCAGTGACAAAAAGATGTCTGTTACAATCAGATCTGTCGCTCTGGTACAACTGGAAGAAGTGATTCCTGTGGGTTGTAGCAGCTGAACATACAGGTGAGAACCACATTTTTGAACAGGATTATTACAAACTTTGTTCCAAGGAATATCACGAAGGAAGTCACAAAACAAGTTCCAATCAATGTGTTGATAACAAAGATATTCTGTTAGTAAGAGGCTTGTGGTTGATGGGAGCAGAAAAAGAAGTTTACAGACACTACTGCATGAACAGAATTGCCAAGAGGGCAGGGCTGAGTTAGGGATAGAGATCAAGGAGAAAAGTTTGTCCATCAGGATTACTGGGAAAATGCATGGGAATTGAGTTATAAAGAAGTTCAGAGTTTGGATGCCTGTGAGGTCAGTAACAGAGTGATTAAGTTACCTGGTATGGTAGGCATTGAAATTTCCAAACACAAAGGTATTTGCAAACAGGTGTAGAGAGAGGATCTTATTTATATTATCAGAAATACTATTTAGCACACAACAGTCATGAGAAGAAGGGGAATGATAAAGAAAGAAGAGATAGCTGACTAAATTTAGTAGAGAAAGATGAAAGCACATGTAAGAATGGTCTGGAGACTAGAGAGAGTTCCCTAGTCAGAGGGAGATGTTCCCAAATATAAACACCCATGCCATGCATGTGGACATTAGAGTCCTTCCTAAGGAAAGAAAGATAGCTAGGAATCAAGAATTCAAAGGAAAGGATTGAAGAATTAAGATTAGTTTTACAGAGAGCAAGGATGTGTGGAGAATGTTTGAAGAGTAATGATTCCACACTGCAGAAGTTGGTATGAATACCATGAATGTTTGAGAAAGAAAGGTTGAGGAGTTAAGGTGTTTTTTGTCAACCTGGTTTAGTTTCATTTTGTTGGTTGTGTTATTTAGATTAGGAAAAGGCCAAAAATAGTAGTAGCTGTTATTTGTTCAAGGTAACATGTACAGGATGGGAATTGGCACAGACTTGTAAGAATGATTTAGTGATACATGTTTTACTAATTAATCTGTAGTTGAGAGGAGATGAGGTGAATTCATACATTTCCCAAGGGTATTTGCACATAAGTGAATATAAAAAAACTCAAATTAAATTTGAACTTGGCTCTCCAATTAACAATACCAAATCATTATCTATTACATCACTTGCACATCCAAGCCTACAGCACCTGGTAACCCCAAGCTGCCACCCATCAAGATACTGAATAGGCTCAATGTTGCTTAACTTTGGTAATCAAATGGGAACTGGTGTTTCAACATGATCTGGCCGTAAGCTATTTTCTAATTCTGAGAGCATAAATTCTATAAGACTAATTAGCATAAAAATCTTTTTACCATTCAATTCTTCTCTTAACAGCTTTTTGAATTGGAACATCAGCTTCTGTCCGATGTGTAAGTTGGCAAATACAGTTTATTGCCTCAGGCAGAGTTGGTGTAAAAAGGGGTAAACCATCAACATTTTGTGGAGATTCAGGAATAGGAATAATATGAAGATCTCCATTGTAAAGGAAAACCTGAAAACAAAAATGTTTAAAAATCTGGGAAATTAATAGTAATAATCATCATAATAATAATTCACATGAATGGGTGTGGTTGTAGGGTAATTGCCCTGTTGAGTACCTGAGCAGTTCCCTCTACATATCTGGGTTGAAAGCAAGAGAGATATCCATTCATATATACATGTTTGCATACATAGCTTAGGAGCCCAGTCTACTCTCTTGTGCTGTTAAGTCCTACAGGAAGACACATTTGCCCTTTGACAGGTCTTATTTTTAATTCTGCCAAGTGTCTAGTCACCCTCCTCACCAGAAAAGCTTTGGGTAGTGGGGGGGGGGACCAGTTTAGTCGCCAATGACCTAACCATATCACAGATAATACTGGGTTACATGGTACCAGCGACACTTGTAGAATGACTGGTCATTAATGGAGAACTACGTGAAAGCTAATTGTACTTATTAAATTACAAAAGAATTAATGGTGGGAGTCGTTTTGGAGAGAATAATATTGCTGTTACTGATTATTTCATTTATCAACATTCAAAATCAATTTATGGCTTTCCAAAGTCTGCCATTAATTTTTTTTTTTGCTACTGAGTGTAATGGTGCTGAAACCAAAAATCAGGTTAGCTATGAAATGTGAGCATAAGTTTGAATGCTGTCCAGTTTTCATCTCTTTCAGAGTTGTATAATAGTACAGATAACATTATTTGTTCATTTATTTAAGGCTTTATAAAGAAGAAAATCTTTTGGCTTTTCAGATTTTTTTTTTTTTTTTTTTTTTTTAGAAAGAGTTTCAATCTTGATATGGCTAAACAAAAACAAAATAAGCAACAATTGTGATTGTAGCTACATTCTTGCTCAGGACCATTTCCCCCATCCTCCAGGGTACAATTAGCAACATCATGAGACCAGGTGAGGTACTGTGACCTATGTCAGTGTTACCAAGGTCTTCACAAAGGGTCTTCTATTACCATATCCTATGGAAGCTAAATAATACTGAACTAACCAGCTGGATTTCCACCTGGTATCTCCTATATCAAATATGGATGTGATTTGAGCCTGTGTCATTTTGCCTCTGGTCATGATCTTTAAGGACTTATGGTGAACCACCCTAGTGCCCAATGTGGGTGTTAACACCTTATGATGACATATTTGCAATACCCTCTAGTCTTGGGTCCTTGATAAAACATGCCATAAACCAGAACCCCCAAGTACATCTGACACTATAAAATCAAAGTATGCCAAAAGTCCCATCCATCTGGTACCTGCTAACATGCTGTTCAAACTCTGATAATTCACCTAGTCACCAGATTTCAAAGCAAAACCAATGAGATTCATTAAAAGATTTACAAATGAGAAAAAAGTAACTTACTCGATTCTCAGCTATGTCTGGATTCATCCATTTTGGTAACACCTCAGCAGATTCTATCAGCAAAAATTCCTGGTCACTATCACAAACCCTGTAAGAAAGCCAACACTAACATCAAAAGTTGTCAAAAAAAAGGATTATGTATAAATATCCTTTAGGCCCCCTTTTTTCTAATTATTATATGGCACATTTAGAAAATAAAATACTTAATGACACTAATAAACCCCCTATATATACAAGATACATAGATGACATTTACCTTTTAGCTAAAGATATTAATTACACAACTTAAAAACAAATTTGAAACTTAATATTAATAATAAAATTCCATTCCTTGATGTATTTATCAATTCCAGCACACAAATTTACTATTGTAAAAATTTCTGATACTAATAATAAACCCACTACATATATTAGTTTTACTACAACCACACTCTCCTGTAGACTTACCTGTCACTGTTCTGATTTTAGTTCTATTAAGGAACATTTCTTAGGAAAACATAGCCGTGTATATAATATTAGACAGATATTAGTTGATAACACAACAATAGTCACATATACAGAGTAAAAAGAACCTTCAGATATTGGAAGCCATCTACATTAAAACAAAGCAACACGCTCAACAAAATTACATTTCAAACTAGTAACAACACATTACATTGCATCTAGACCCATGGTTCAGTTGCTAATATTTCGGTCTCTCACATGGTATAACATCATAGAACCTCATCATAAATTTACGACTTGTGTCTGCTATTCCACAACCGTTATCATCACATAGCAATCTTCTATTTCAGCATAACAGAATATCATCTTTGATGATAAATATCTTTGTTTAAATATCTATATAAGCACCCTGAAGCTGGTTCATATGAGCCAAAAGCTTAGATCAAGTACCAGCTTAATAAAAAACACACACACACATATATATTAGCCTATAGCAAGTGCTGGTGTTAATAAAACAATAAAATAACAGTGCTCCACATGCGATGTCACTGGCATCGGTGGTGAGCGTGAAAAGTTTGGAGAAATCTGGAAACGAGATGACGGGTGGGGAAGCGAGACAGTCCTTGATCTTTTTGAAGGCTCTGTCGGCATTTTGATAAATGGTTTATTAAACTTGTTGGGTTCATGTATGGGACCCATAAGTTTTGAAAACATATCTGACATTTGTTCGTGACGACGTGTCTCTAGGAATTGTCTGATTCACACTAAACAGCCGATAAGGCTTTGTAATTCCTTTTTTGATGTTGGAAGTTTCATTTCCCTGATGGCACGAACGTATTCTGGATCAGCCTTGAATCCTTCGCTGTTTACTATGTGTCCGAGGAATTTTGCCTCTGATGTGAGAAATGAACATTTATCTGGATTCAGCTTGAGTCCGAATTTTTGGAGGGCAGTAAAAAATTATGTACTCCATAAATGTCCTAGTGTGAACCAGGCTGTTGTCGATATAGGAAGAAATGTTGTCACGGGATGTGACTGTGGCTAGAGCTTCTGCTATGCAACAGGAGAAGATTTGTCTGGCAGATGTAAGGCCAAAGGCCAGGTGTGTGTATTGATGGCATTGGTCCTTCCATGTAAATGCTGTTTTGTATCGATCTCGTTTGTCGATCACAATTTGCCAGTAGCCGCTGTGTAGATCGAGGGAAGTGAAATATCTATTGCCTTTGCCGATTTTGTTGAACAAGTGGTCGATCCTTGGCATTGGGTAAGGGTCAAGATCGACTAAGACCTTGTTGAGAGTTCTTTTAATTTTAGTGATGACACAAATCGATCCATTTTTCTTGCGTACGGCAAATACAGGGCTATTGAAGCCTTTGGGGTCACTGCAGTTTTCAATGATACCTTCATCGGCCATGTGCTTAATTTTGGTATCAATGTCGGGTGTTGTTTCTGGCTGCGAGACTGGCCGTTGGTTGGTATGCGGATGGGTCGGATGAACGTGCCTTTGCTGCTGTTTTTGGTGCAGAGGCCTCTAGTTCATCTCAGTTCGGGTGGTTTGGTAGCGATAGCCCCGTGCTATGCTGTAGCCAGGTTAGCTTTTAATCCAGTGTCTGGATGTTGGGCTGTAGTTCCATAGTATGCTAGTTTTGGATGACGTCAGCTTGGGTGCCATATGCTGGATTGTTGGTTGACGATGATGGTGATATAATTGCAACTGTGTGTGTTGTGTATCCTGAGGAAAGTGTGCGTCTGAATTCTATAGTCGCATTTTGGTTGTCAATTACATAGGAATCGAGCGTGTTGTGACATAGGATATTTTGGTCGATCAGGATCGGTGTGGTTTGGGTAGTTAACAATATGTTAACCTTTTCGAATGTGGGTGAGTCTCGACTGCCGATGGTGATGTCGCAAGTCAGTTCGCCAAGGGTGGTAGTGCTGCCGTTGATTCCTTTTACTACGATGTCGGAGCGGGTCATGTGTTTCTTGGCTTCTCTGGGTAACTGAGATATTGGTAAGATGCAGGTGGAGCATCCAGAATCTAGCATTGTGACACCAGAGAAGGTGATGTCCCTGAAGTTGAAGTTGGACTGGGTGAGTGGTGAATGGTGAGTGAGTCCTTGAGGGTTGAAGGTGTGATGGCTGACGTAGGGACACGGTGAACGAGGCATCACATCTCGTCCTGCCCGAAGCGAATATCCTGTTCCACATCATTTATGGCTTGTATATTATCATTCGTTGCGGCGATATGGGCAGTTGAGTCTATGGAGGCCGGGGCGACCTCTGAGGTAGTTCTTGCACACGCTGATTCGTGGTGTGTGCTGATGGTTTCTGCATGTCGGATGGTGGCCATGTTTGGGAGGGTTGGTGAGGCCCATCTGCTGTGGGTTTGGTTGCCTGCTGGGTCGGAGTGACGTGTTTCTTTGGTTTGACTGCTGTGGTTCTGTGTGAAATACACAGTGTCGTGCGAAGTCGTGTTGTTAGATTTTACACCGCGATCAAGCTTCAGTGGCTATGCCAATGGCTGAATAGTGGTTGTCCATTGTCTTGACAAGATGTGGGTAAATATTTAAGTTCCAAATTTTCACCTTTTTGCTCATGAGCATAGCGCCGATGATGTTGACTGTTAAATCTGTATTTTTGTCTTATTTGTATTTGTTTTTTATGTGAATGGCCGCCTCTCTAAGGGTGTTTTCGAGTCGACCCGCGAAGTCTGTTAATTTTTCGCCGTCTCACCATTCCAGATCCCAGGCTTGACTGAGGTGTTGGAAGTTAGTCATCTGGCTTCCGTGGGCTGCTAATAAGTATTCCTTCAATTGTTAGAAGTTGGATATGTCTTTTTCTGAGTCAACCATCTGCTGAAAGATACTTTGGTCCAGTAAATCTTTAGCAGACTTGATGAATTCGCATTCCAGGCTGGGATAGATGCTGAGTTCTCGCATGACGTGGATTGTGTATGCTTTGTTTAGAGCCGTGATGAATCGGTTCACATCGTGTCCAAGGTGAAAAGTTCTCTCTAGCTTCAATATGTCGTGTATAGTTTGTTGGCACATCATTAAGCTGTAATCGCCGTTTGTTTGAGCGGTGGGAGGTGTTAAAGTAGTTGATTTTACGGCAGTCAGCATGTTGTTTATGCTGGCTTGAATTTCTTGTATTGTGGCTTCGGAAGGCTGTGTTGGTCCCGTTTTCAAGTTGAATAGTAGTGTTTTCTGTTCCTTGATAAGAGTAAATAGTTCAGCTCGGGTGAAGCTCATGTAGTCGTCCATATTTCTTTTGCTGTACACTTCTGATACCAGTGTTATAGACAAGCGTATGGTCGCAAGAAAGAAATACGACAACAGCAAAAATAGATTTACGTGATTTATTTCAATAGGAACGTGTGGTTTTGGGACATCTACCTTGTGGTATAGTTCATAAGCCGGCTGCCGATCTAGGTTGATCTCTCATAGTAGTTCTCACTGGTTGGTGTGGTGCTTCTCTTGCTGACTGCCCAGAGTGACTGTGACAGATCTCTTCCCTGGCCTCCTGTTGACTGCCAGTACTTCCCTGTCAGACCCCTTTTATGGTGTTTTTTATGGCTTAACATGCTCGAAAAACAACGCGAGTATAATTAGGAGGGAAGCATTTTTATTGGTCGAAAAATAGAAACACTTTAAAATATTATTTTATTTTTCAACCGGAACTCGTGCATCAGGCCTATGCGCAAACGACGATCATGGTCATTTTGTGACGGGGTCTTGTCCCGTTCACATCTGGCTCTCGCTCTTGAATATGTTAGTTTATTTGTCTGCAAATCAGCCGAGACACATCTTATTTCATTTGATGACAACAAAAATAAAAAGAATTAAAATAAGGTATTTGTGCTTTCCTTTAAAATCCTTCTTTATTTCTCTCCCTCTCTGAACTTCTCTTTCTATACATCTCTCAACTAACAAAACGGCAACACTCAAATAAAAAGAGAAAAGACTGAACCTGGCCAAAAATACTGGAAGTTTGTAGAGACTATGTACGGTATTGCTTCATAAATTCGAGGACGGAACTATGAAGCCAATAGCAAATGCCTCGAGGACATTACTGCCTGCAGAACAAAGTTACAGTCAAGTCAAAAAAGAGAGTTTAGCAATAATCTATGCTGTAAAAAAATTTCATAGGTTTCTATATGGAAGAGAATTTATTATGCAAACAGACCACAAACTGCTGTTAACAATATTTGGTTAAAAAAAAAGAAAGAAGGCATACCAACTCACGCAGCAAATCAACTACAACGTTGGGGTGTAATTCTATTGAATTATAATTTCAAAATAGAATATGTGCCTTCGAAGAAGCTAGGTCACACTGATGGGTTATCAAGATTGATACCTAAATATACGGAATCACTGGAAGAAACAGTAATAGCGGCACTAAGAGAAGAAAGTGAATTGTTGGGTCTGTTATGCAACATTATTAGAGAACTACCGGTTATGCTAGATGTGCAAAAAGCAGCAGTGAATGATGATTTTATTAAAAAAAATGAAAAAGCCAGTTTGGTTGAACGAGAAAACTAAAAAAGGAATTAGTGTGTCACCTTTTTCAATCTGCGAACAGGTATTACAATACGCAGATAGAGTTGTAATGCCGGTTACTCTGCAAAAGAAAATTCTGAAAGAATTTCATACTGGCCATCCAGGGAATGAAATCTCTAATGAGAGGTTATACTTATTGGCCGAGGATGGACCAAGACATAGAAAATTTGGTGAAACAGTGCAGAGGATGTCAACTGGCAGCAAGGGATCCACCGGTAAAGATTCAACCATGGTCAAAGACAGATGTTCCATGGACTTGATTGCATATCGACTATGCAGGGCCCATAAATGGATCTTATTACCTGATCATTGTGGACAGTTTCACTAAGTGGCCAGAAATTGTTAAGTGCAGACATCCGACTGCAACAAATACGATAAATGCACTTAGTGAAATTTTTAGTCACTTTTGACTCCCTAAGATTTTAGTCAGTGACAACGAAACACAGTTTACGGAAAGGGAATTCAAGGAATTCTGTAGATCATTGTCCATTGATCACGTGACAATCCCAGTATATTATCCAAGATGAAATGGACAGGCGGAAAAATTCGTGGACACCTTTAAACGAGTGTTGAAGTAAAACCAAGGCGTGAACATGAATGAAAGAAGTATTCAGAAATTTTTGGCAGTATATAGAATCACACCAAACTCGAATACAATGTCAGGGTTATTGCCAACAGAGTTAATGTTTGTGAGAAAAATACGCTCTATGTTTGACAGGCTGTTGCCTAGTCCGGTGAAGAAAACTGCTAAAAAAGAAACCAGATAACTAAAGTGTATAAGCCAGGTGACAAAGATTTTTTCAAGAACTTTAGGGCTGGAAAAATGTATTGAGAAGAAGGAATGATAAACAAAAGAATTGGACAGGTCATATATGACATAAAAGGGGAAAAATTTCGGTGCAAAAGACATTGGAATCAATTGGGACCCAGGCACACTACAGAGGTCACAGAAAATACTGAAGAGATTCCAATGGAAGTCCTGTATGACGCATTTGAAATTCCCGTTCCAGTAAATCAACATTTGCCAATGGTGGTATCCCTGACCTCAAGGCTAGAGCTACCAGTGTATCAAATGCCACCACTGCAAGGAGGATTGAGGAAAAAAAAAACTTAGGAAAAAAAATCAATCGATTAAGTCCAGACCCTAAAAATGAGAAAATATTGAAGCTAAATTTCACAGGAAATTTTAGCTCAGGGGGGAGGTGATGTAACGAATATGCATACATCTGGGTTCCCCATCACAGTAATATGATTGGCTGGTATCAGCCATAAATACAGACTGATGTAGTGGTACATGGCCTATGCCTATTGCTTACCACTACAACAAGGACCAGTCCATTACAGTTACCTGCTAGATTGTCCTACCTGGATACAGTAGTCCAAAACCACTTTGCTACTTCAAACAAATATATCCCTTTCGGGGACATATCAGTAATTATGCAATGTTCAACTATAAATACAAAGGTAACTTTTAATGCTTTTCAACCACACTATCTGCCTTTATTTATTTATTTATTCCAAAAGATATCAATTCTCTAAGAAACAGCAGCAGAAATTACAGCAACATTACACTATTTTCTAGCTTTAAGAGATACTTAAATAAAATTAAATATATGTTATCAATCTTTTTGCTTGTTATATTTTTTGATAACTTGTAGATTCCATTAACAAAGATAACAATCAAAGTTCAAGATTTAAATGAATTCTTGGCCAGTTATAATAAGACAAGATAAAAACTATTAGAAAAATACTTATTTAGAAAAAAATTAAAAATTTGTTGAAATAATTTTGCAAACAAGATGTAAAGATACATCAATCAATTTGAGTGTACCTTACTGCACAGACATGAACAGACACCCTACTATTGGGTCTGCAGTGAGAATCTAGCAAAGGATCTTTTGTTTCTGCAGTTCAGATTTTGCTTCCTGCTATTCTAAAAATTGCTATTGAAAAGAAAGGGATGTTAGATTATGAACAAGATTAAGGAGAACATAGTAAGGCAGCTGATCATGATGCAGAAAGGACTTTGAAAAAGTAGGAGATGCTGATATAACTTTATGAGATCACAATAGAAGGAATATGAACAGGACTTAGATGCCATTGATCTAAGTAGGCTAATTTTCAATTTTTTCATTAATATAAAATGGATGTATACTTTCCAGACATGCCTTATATTATCAATTTCATACAATTCTACATAAGTAAAGAAAGCATTGAATAATAAAATATAGATTGAAGGAAATTCAAGTTTAGACAAAAGATTTCTTTTTGACACATAAACATCTACAAAAGAAATGCAATCATAAATATCTCTATATAGTTAAATAATAAATGAGATTTTTTTTCTTTTTGGAATGTGGACATGAAAGTGAGACTAACCTTAGCTCTTGACATAAGAGGGTTCGTTTGTGTCTGGCGTACAGGGCAGTAATTGGTCCGAAGGAAGAAACACCACCATTACGGTGAGTCGGACTTATGGAAAACGCGATCTTGTAGCCCCGAGAATTGGCGAGAGGTGAACTTGGCCGTATGCAAATTGGTGTTCGCTGGCATAAATGTGACGGCGGGAGACCACTCGAGAGAGTTGTGTGTAGCGAACTACGAGGCGGTGTTGGAATAATTGAGCGCAAAGATCTGTGGAGTTTTGTAGCTGGATTGTTTTGAGCAACCTGTCTTGAAGCTGAGGAGTTTTGTTTCTTCCGGAAGTAGGTGGTGCCGGGCCAACCCGTTCCCTTCCTATTGTTTGGACCTAATTTTACTACAAGCTATTTCGGCATAATGGGGGACAGATTCGACCTGAAATTGATACCAGAGTTCGATGGCTCAACCCCGGTACTTGACTGGGTGGAAAAAGTGGAACTGCATTGTCTCTTGTCTGGCATAAAGAGCATTGAACACATGATTCCTCTGCGTCTGTCTGGCGGGGCTTTCGCTGTGTATCAACAGCTCAGTGCTGAGGAAAAACAGGATTATGAGAGAATCAAGGCAGCACTATACAAAGGCGTTTGGAGACCCCGCCACTGCATGGGAACAATTTGAGGCAAGAACTTTACTTCCAGGCGAAACTGTCGACGTGTATCTGGCAGAGCTGACGAAGTTGACGGTGTTGTTCGGTGGGTTGCCCGAGCGGGCCTTGACATACAAATTTCTGGCAGGGCTCCCAACCGGAGCAAAGAAACTTCTGCGAGTGAGCTCAAGCATAGACTCGTTGTCCCTTAACGACCTGGTAGACCGGGCCAGGACCGTGATGAAGGATAACTCTGAGGTGAGAGAACCAGTAGTCGCCGCTGCACAGTCCACGCTGAGTGATGATAGACCGTATCAGGGGCCCAGCCCCCGTGGTGGGGTCATATGTTATAGATGTGGTGGTCAGGGCCACATTGCGAGGAACTGCAGGTGGCAACTGACAGCTGTTCGCTGCTACCGGTGTAATGAGACTGGACATATGGTCCGGGACTGTGCGGGAAACGGGGCCGGGGACAAGGTGCCAGCGTCGACCTCTTCCCCAAGCAGAAATTAGATGAGGCGCTTCCGATCATTCAGGTCTATATTAATGAGACATTGTGCTCAGCACTCCTCGATTCCGGTTGCTCCCGCACCATAGTGTGCGCGGACCTCTGCCGCACTTGGAAGAAGAAGAGTGTCAGTGTGACCACCATCAGTGGAGAAACACGGAGGTGTTGTGGGGTGGGCGCGGTGAACATCCGTACAAGAACTGGAAACTCGGCCAACGTCGAGGCGCTAGTAGTGCTCGAAAAACCACTGAGCTTTGACCTGCTTCTAGGCTATGATGCCATCAGAGCTCTAGGTGTTCACATAACGCAGACGGGGGCAGTACAGTTTCAGGAGAGGGCCCCAGTGTGCGCAGCTCTGAGGATCGACCAGCCGGACTTTAGTGTCGAATTTGACCAGCAGCAGAAGGCTTGGACCACCTCATGGAGGTGGTCGGAAAACCAGGAACCAGCCAAACTGCGGAACGAGGTAGCCGAGTACCATGTGCCCGACCAAATAAGGCCTGCATACGAAGGGGAGCTCCGTGAATGGATCAAGGATGGCTGGTTGATTCCTTACCCCTATGAGAAACTTGGACCTCCCAAAGGCCTGATCCCGCTGATGGCGGTTGCTCAGCACAACAAAGCAAAGGTAAGGCCAGTGATGGACTACCGCGAACTAAACGCGCATGTTGATGCGTTCACGGCAGATGCTGACGTTTGTGCCAGCAAGCTACGAGAATGGCGCCAGCAGGGTTCCAATGTGTCCCTGCTGGATCTAAGAAAAGCGTACCTGCAGGTCCGGGTCAGCGAGACGATGTGGCCGTTTCAGACGGTGGTGTTTGCCGGCAGGAGGTACTGCCTTACTAGGCTGGGCTTCGGGCTGAACGTGGCACCCCAAATAATGAAGACCATCGTCAACGCTGTGTTGTCACAGGAAGAAACAATAAAAGAGGGGACATCGGCGTACCTTGATGATATATATGTGAACGAAGACGTTGTGTCGTCATCACGCGTAAGGTCCAAACTGGCTGAGTTTGGTCTGACTTGCAAGGACCCAGAACGTTTGGAGGATGGCGCCCGTGTCTTGGGCCTGAACGTTCAACAGGAGCGAGAGACCTTAAAGTGGGGGCGCGGAACTGCAGTTCCTGAAGTACCCGATGTCTTCACGAGGCGAGCTATATTCTCCCTGTGTGGAAGACTTGTGGGGCATCTACCAGTGTGTGGATGGACTCGTGCGGCAACAGGCACCATAAAAAGGAGGGCAAGCGCAGTCACCAAAGGCTGGGACGATGAAACAACGGACGATCTGTTGGTTCGCATGGTGAAGGAGACCATCGCAAGGGTAAAGCAGGATGACCCCGCCAAAGGAGACTGGTGCGTGCAGGGAGATGAACTGAACGTGTGGGTGGATGCGAGCTCTCTGGCGATTGGTGTGCTGTTGGAGAAGAATGGGGCTGCGATTGAGGACGCCTGCTGGTTGCAACCGGTGAATGACGCTGCTCATATCAACCTGGCAGAGCTTGATGCGGTGATAAAAGGCATCAACCTGGCACTTCAGTGGAAAGTCAGGAAATTACACATACACACTGATTCGCTATGTGTGTACCACTGGATATCGGACACATTGACAGGCAAGGCCAGGGTGCGTACCAAGGCGGCTAGCGAGATGCTGATCAGACGGAGGTTGGAGACCATAAGAAAGCTGGTAACAGAGTACAACCTATCTATGGATGCGGTGCTTGTCACCTCAAACTGCAACCTTGCTGATAGGCTCACTCGTGTGCCACAGAGATGGTATGGCGCCATGAAGAAAGAAGCTGAGCCAGTGCCGTTACTATGTGCTGCCTCAGTTGAGGCGGCGGACAAAATCAAGGAGATACACCACAACAGTGGGCACCCCGGAGTGAGACGGACATGCTATTTTGTACAGTTGACCAATCCGTCAGTGTCCAAAAGTGAAGTGAGAGCGGTGGTGAAGGAATGCCAAACATGCCAGTCAATCGACCCCGCCCCGGCTAGATGGCGGAAGGGTCGGCTGGGGGTAGACACGACTTGGAGCCGACTGGGTATGGACATAACCCATTACGGCAGCCAGCATTTCCTCACACTGATAGATTGCGGACCGACGAGGTTCGCGATCTGGCGCCCATTAGTAAGACAGGACTCATCCGGTGTCATCCGTGAATTGGAGTCCATATTTTACGAAAGGGGGCCGCCTGAAGAGATCCTCACGGATAACAACATGGCCTTCTGCAGCAGGGAGTTTAGGCGTTTCGTAGACGAGTGGGGGATCCGGCTCAGACACCGGTGTGCGTATGTGCCGAGTGGCAACGGCATAGCAGAGCGGTGCCACCGAAGTGTGAAGAGGATCGCGGCCAGGAAGCAGTGCACGATAGCGGAGGCGGTCTATAGATATAATGCAACACCAAAGGATGCCGTGACTGCTGCAAGCGCACCCGCCAATGCGATCCATCGCTACCAAGTGCGCAACAAGGGCATTGACGCGCGTCTGCCTGATCGGCGGGGAACACGAGGGCCGTATGAGTTAGGGGACACCGTCTGGGTGAAGCCTCCCAATAGCCGGTGCACCACCAGCTTTCAAAGAAAACGAATCACCGGCATCGTCAATGAGCAGGCAGTGCTGGTCGATGGTACTCCACGCCATGTGAAGGATGTCCGGCCCGCCCTAAATACGAACCATTTGACTAGTAGCAGCAGTGGTGAATCATCCAACGATGAACTGTGGATCCGACCTATGCCCCTCGGGCCTGATGGTTTGACTGCGGACCCCGACGCTGATGCCGATAGTTCCGACGCCCCTTCTGAGAGCTCCGATGAAGAAGTCCAGACAATCCCCCTTCGTAGGAGTGCCCGCAACAAACGACCACGTCCGCAATGCCACATGTGTGATCTTGAGACCAGGGGGGAGTGTGGACATGAAAGTGAGACTAACCTTAGCTCTCGACATAAGAGGGTTCGTTTGTGTCTGGCGTGCAGGGCAGTAATTGGTCCAAAGGAAGAAACACCACCATTACGGTGAGTCGGACTTATGGGAAACGCGATCTTGTAGCCGCGAGAATTGGCGAGAGGTGAACTTGGCCGTATGCAAATTGGTTGGTGTTCGCTGGCATAAATGTGACAGCGGGAGACCACTCGAGAGAGTTGTGTGTAGCGAACTACGAGGCGGTGTTGGAATAATTGAGTGCAAAGATCTGTGGAGTTTTGTAGCTGGATTGTTTTGAGCAACCTGTCTTGAAGCTGAGGAGTTTTGTTTCTTCCGGAAGTAGGCGGTGCCGGGCCAACCCGTTCCCTTCCTATTGTTTGGACCTAATTTTACTACATGGAAACAGCAGGATTGATACCATCTTAAAAAAAGCAGGTGGGGAGCTTAAATTAAAATATTTTTCTTTGTAGTTTAGCAAAAACAAAGCAACCGGATTTCAAAATTTTCAGCCTATTATCTAATTCACTGTATAGATATTTGAACTTTTATATTAGAGCCATCTATGTCCTTGTTAGATTTACCTTTAAAAACTACTATACAATACTACAAATGATTTTTGTGTAATAAAATTATATTCGACTAAATGACTAATCTGTCCTTAGTGCCTGGATTTGGTTTTTGCTCCATGATACTATGTGATGGACCACATGCTACAAATTTGACAATACATATTTACACAGTATATAAAAGAATAATTCTATGATAGACACAAAGAAAAAAAATTTAGGTATTTTCATAAAGCAGATCTTTAAAAAAAATACAAAGAAAAATGTAGTAAAGAAAAAATAACTAATCTTTTAATATACTTGTTTTACTATTTTTTTTTTGCTAGATATCTAGCATAGTTATGCATATAAAAATAAAGTAGGTATGAAATTTCAAATTTTGTAGTTCATCCTTAAGGCCAGAAAATAGTAATTACCATATTTTTTTAGTGTTGAACAACACAGAATATATAATTACAATGTAACACAAAATTGCAGATGAACTGCGTACAATCATTAAAATACTAAAATGTAGTTGAGGGATGTTAATTAGCTTTACAAAAGCCAACACTGAACATTTTTTCCAATTTACTCAAAGCTACAAATAACATAGCTGGATTACCAAAAATGATCATGTATTTCAGATCAATACATGCAGACATTCCAAAATAAGAGCTACTATTTTTTTAAATCATCTCACCCCCAAGCAAGGCAATAACAAAGCAACTAAGATAGAAGGGGTTACTGAGTGTGAGAGAATATGAGAAAAATAAGACATTAAAACAATAAATGAACAGGAATTATGACAAAATATAACAAATGACATTGCATTTAAATTTTTGAACATCAAAATTGACTGGAAAGCAAAAAGCTGGGAGAGAGTTCTACAGGTGAGAAGTGTGAGAGAATAAGCTACTAACATAAAACTTATGGTTATATCTAGTCAGTTCAACTACAAAATGATGAGAATATGCCACCAATCTAGTAGTGTGCTTAAATTCATAAAGTCTATGTACCAAAGAGGAAAACTCATCAGGACAATTACCATGAAAATATTTATAGAAAAAGCACAAGGAAGTTAGGTTATGGAAGTGGGAAAGTGACTGAAACTGAGATGCCAGGTCAAGACCCATAACATTGCAGATTCTTCTTTATATTTTATCAAGAATTTCTAAATACATAGAAGCACCAGACCAGATGTGACAGCAATATTCAAAGCAAGGACAAATGGTAGACTTATAAATGTGTAAGATAGATTTTGGCAAGAAAAATTATCTAGCACAACACAGTGAACCAACTTTCTTAGCAGCAAGCTTAGCAATTGATTCATTTTAATCTTTCCACTTCATGTCACTGGAAAATGTTAGCCAAAGAAGGTGCATTGAATCATTTTTTGGAGGTTAGCATCAGCCACACTGATGGAATGTTAAATGGAGTAGAGAAAAAAATGAATAATCTTATTAAATATTAAAAGTGTTATTGATGGAATGATCCTATGTTAATAGGATATCTTTTTTATAATAGGTATATCTTTTTTGTTTAATGACTCCTCACTCTAACCTCTTTTTTAATTTCAAAACCATATGAGGCCTTCATTCTTATCAGAGATAATGACTAAAGAGAGCTGGAAAATAAAAAGGAATTCCACCACCATTATTCTTTCCATGGAGCCATAAAGTCTGGGAGAGACCTCACAGCTTCTTCACTTCAACCTGTCTTCAGTACCTTCGAAACCGGCTCCCAGGGCCCTGATTCTTATCAGAGATAAGAATGTGTTTTCTGACCAATAGAGAAGCTAGGTAATTTGTACAACAATTTTGGAGGGAAAAGTCCAAAAACTCCATAAATTTGGAGAATCTTGCCTATTTCGACAGTGAGATTTCTGCCCACCATCTGTTAGGGGGCTCCAGCACCTCTTTCATCAAAGAAGAACTACTAAAAAGAGCTGTCAAAAACGAATGTCGGTCCACTATTCAAGACCAATCCAAAGCTGCATCCCTTCACCACTCCTAACGAGCCACTGGACTTCTGTCGTCAACCAAAACACTCACTCAGCAGCAGGATTCCTTCATCTGCGAACAAATTTCCAGCTCTACAAGAACTGTGAGTGTTTCTATCGGAACTTTAACAATAACATCTATTCTAATCGTTTAAAGAACTCTTTAGGCACTCAGAGAAATATTTTGAGAAAGCCTTTTTAAGTTAAGAACATTTTCTCTTTTCCCTTTCTTTCTCTACTAATTGTCCTTTTATCCCTTTACCTTTTTTTTCTGTATATATTGTAAATAAACACTTTCTTCTTTTGTTGTTACTCACCGAGCAGGAGTTTTTTTTTTATTCGTACATGCCTAAAAGAGAGAGTTTGTCCACTCTAAATCTTGCAGTTTTACTCGTGTTTTTTCACAAAAAATTTAAACCTCAACCCTATTTTTAACTTCAACCCTTTGATGCGGGAAAGCTGGGACAAATTTCCTAGCATATGATCATATAGATGACAAACACTACGCTGCAATACATTATTCCATTGCCTTTTGAATCTGTTGAAATACAGCAAGCAGTGTATATGGGTTATCTGAACAAGTCAGTTATTGTTCCATCATATCCCATGTGTGTTCAATGGGAGGCAGATCTGGGGACCATGCTAGTCAGGGAAACTGTCAAACATTTAACAAAGCATTTTAAATAGCATGTTTTTTTTTATCTTGCTGGAACAACACATTGCTTGTGTGTTGTAAGAATAAGAGCAGAAAATGTTGAACAATATTCCCTACATGACACTGTTCAACATTCCGTCCACAAACGCCAAAGGCAAAGAAAATCATAAGTTAGGACACTGCATACCATGATACCAAATGCTAGACCTGTGTAAATATACTGTGGAAGATATTGTGATCTCACTCTAGAGGGCCATATTTTCTCCAATCTGTGATTGTCCAGAACCTGATCTACAGGTATTGCAACATTCATCTGAGAACTTTTGTTTTTATCATTTCCCTACAAGCAAAGTAATAAAGCCACTAAGATACTGAGTGTTAGAGAATATGATAAAAATATAAAAATGTACTATTAAGGAAAGGTGACAATAAAAGAACAAGAATTAAGAAAACAAAAGATAACGATTGACATTGCATTTAAATCTTTGCAGATCAAAGTTGACAGGGAAGCAAGAAGTGTGATAGAAGAAATTATTAGCATAGGACTCACTGTTACATTTAACCATTTCAACTGTAAAATGAGACCTTGCCATCAATTTAGTCCTGCACTTAAATTCATCTCACAGGAAAGTTCATCAGTTAACATGAAAGTATTTATAGGAAAGGCACAGGGAAGCTACATTATGTCAATGAAAAGTAACTGAAGCCAAGATACCAGGTCAGGACCAATAACATTGCAGATTCTTCTTTGGATTTTATCAATAATCTCTAAATAGCACCAAAACAGATGTGGCAGCAATATTTAAAGCATGGAAGAATGGTAGACTTAAAAATATGTAAGATAGATTCTGGCAAGAGAAATTGTTGCCAACACTGATATGTTGCACAGCAATCCCTCATAATTTCAAATGAACACAGTTCAACCCTTTTCAAATGACTCTAACTGAACTAAAAGAGCATGGTGTTCATTTTTTTGGCATGACACCTTTTCATTACACTGAGACTTATCACAATATGTATCACTAGCATCTCAAAGGTCAGATAGACATGGTGCACTGGTAACAAGTGTTATATCACAAGATGGCTGAAGACTGAAAATTTAATCAGAATAACTATCAACCCCTAACATGCACATACTGTACCCAGACAAAAAAAAAAATCCAGATTATCCTTCAGGGCATTTCAAGTTTATTTTTCATCAGTACATAAGCTAATTAGTGTTATCTATAAGCTTTAATACACAGAATCACTTTCTTTGGATGAAGCATTAGTGGTAGTTCATTTTGCTTGTCTTATGATTTCTTACATTTCACAAGGATTGTAAAAATATAGATTTGCTTCAAAGAGAGATCATTTAAACTGCAAATCATACATGGAAATAGTTCAGTAGCACCCCCCCACCTCAAACTAATGTGGGCGTCATACATCAAAACAATGAATAACCAAATTGGTGCAAATGTTTTTTCAATAGGCTGGTGATCTCCCAGGTTGTACACCGTTTCCCTAAAGTTTGGACACACAGGAAATATATATATATATTTTTTTTTTTTTTTTTACTGCCACAGATTAAAATATGGTTTTATCGAAAGAACTGATTTCTTTTTCTGGGGTGTGTTAAAGAAGGTGTGCTCAATGAAAATCATACATGCAACACACTTAATTGAACGCATCAAGAGTAAATGTGCTAAAATTGATGGCTATATAGATTTATTGCATTAAGTTCAAGTGATTCTTGCAAAGTGCATCAAACTTTGCATCACAAATGATGGAAATCATAGTGAAGATGTTACTTGTTCATATTTCAATTCAATAAAATTGGAAAAATTTTGTTTCTTGAAAATATTCATTTTTGCCTGTATTCAGACTTTAGAGACAACCTGTATAATTATTCTGAAGTCATCTCTTAATTTGATCATTATCCATATTTATTGGTCTAAAGAAAGGAAAAGAGAAAGCAGTAAAAACAAAAAGAAAAAAACACTTCTAACACATCTGATTATTCAATTCATTATCTTTTCCAGAAACCTTCCAAACCACTTCTTTTGGTGTCATTTTAATCATTTACAATAACTTCTCCATAAATTACACATTTTATTTTGTATTCAAGTCACATTTTTACTTTGAAATAAAGCATAATATTCAAAAAATATTTTCTTCCCATAAACCAACTAAAACAAACTAATTTTACTATGACAGCTATCATAACATAACCAAAAGCAAACTTTGAATGAAATTACTTAAAACTAATACCATTGAATGATAAGACAATTTTTAGGCTACTCGAACAGCCACTTTTGAATTGTTTCTTATGTAGATGTACTGCCACTAAATGATAATTTCTGCTTGATTCTCTTGTTCAATTTTTGGTTCATTCAATTAAATATTTGATCATTTCAAGTAATCTCATAGGCCAAATTCATTTCTGTTTTTAAGATGGATTGACATTAATGAATTCATATCATCCTTTATTTGCACTGTTATTTTGTTCAAGCATGATTATTATATTTAATGTATTAATGGACATCTGAATCTCAAAAGATTTTGGCTAAATATGGAGAAAAAAAAATTGGAGCTTAACAGAAAGATAAACTGTTTCCACATTTCTCTTCTATTCTGTTGTGTGACAGATATGTGGTAAGGTAAAAGAAACATTGAAATTTTATATACATGTGTAAAATCTGGTTACTCGTATCAAAAGTTATTTTCTTTTTTAAATATCTGAAATAAGCTAATTGAATGGTTTAAATATTTTCAGTTCCTTCCAGAGGATATAAATTTATTGCTTTATTAATGTAAGGTTAAGAGGCTGTAAGGGCTGAAGGTATTGACGATTGTATAAATTGAGCCTAATGTAAAAGATATTGAAGTAGCCAACAATGCTTTTTTATCATGCCTTGAAAATGAAAGCGTGGTCCTCTGCCAAAAAATGAACATATTGAAAATTTATATAGGTAAGTAAATGTTAGGTGAAAAAACTCCTATGCAAAAAATAAAGGCAGTGTTTTGTATTAAATGTCTTTAAAAATTAAGAATCTAGAAAAAAAAAAAAATTAGTAACCAAATAGGACAGTTGCTGATCTTTTTATGAAAGCAATAATAAAATGACAATTGAGAAAGTCTTCATATGAGAAATGCTCACTAAAAATAATTAGACAATAAATGTATATACAGAATACAATATTTATAAACAAAATGATATATTCGTTTGATTGGGGGAGAAGCATTGATTTGAAAGCCAATTAATAAATGCCTAGTTAATACCTTCAACAACATTGAAATATTCTCTATACTATGAGATTTCATAAGTGTGTCTCTTCTGCAAGACAATTTATTGATGAAAGTTATTCTTTTTGACCGTTTTGTTCTTTTCTTTTCTTTAGAAGCAATCAGCAATATCTTATCTTACTTATTATAAAACGCAGATTGTGTGTGTGTGTGTCTGTACGTTTATATATTGGATCAGATTTCCTACATTTTTCAACCGATTTCAACAAAGCTTCACAGGACTACATAAAATTACCTTGCGGTGGTTCTAACAGCGCCAAATATTGGAAAAACACAATTGTTTTTGCATGAAATCAATTTGAAAGCATGGTTAAGTGTAACCCGGTCAGAAGTTACTTTTCTACTCAAACGTCCGAATATTAACTTCCAGTGACTTTGTGTTTTTTTTTCAGAGAACGATACACAAAATTTAAACAAATGAAATCTAAAAATACAAGTCCTCTAACTAAAAATAATAACCAGAAACTATTCTAAATACACATGGTGTCCAATTTTTTCTATATTCAATAAGTAAAAAATCATAAATTGTAAAAGATTACAGAAAGGCTACTAAATCAATATGATTTGTTAGATCATAATTAATAAACCCAAATAAAGTTAATATTTTTGTATTAGAAACAACGAGTGGAAAATATATTCAAATCAGAATTCTAATTATGAATCACCACAAGCAAAATATGCAATTTTTTACTGTATTCAATAAGTGAAAATCATTTTGGCAGATAGTGTTTCTTATTGTCTTGCACACTTTTTTCTTTTATTTTTAAATACAGAATGCTTTAAAATTCCATTTACAAGACAATTGTTTATAATAAAATTCTATTCAATCGGTAGATCCATAATGATTGAAAACAATGTTTTTGTTTGAGTTTGACCAATTTGTAAAAAAAAAAAAATAATTAAGACATGCGTGTCTGTCAACCTTAAACAATAATCTTTGTCAATTTTATTTTTCAGTCTTTATGATGGTCGATACTTGATCTATCTCTTACTGTTACATCCCCGGGCAACGCCAGGATCTACTGCTAGTTGATTATATTACTGCATTTCTAGATTGTTTTTCAATTTCTTCTTAGTCAAGAATACTATTTTTACTTATTACAAACCTCTTTATTTCAATAAGTAAATTCCTCCTCAGTGAATATTGATTTATATAAAGATTTCTAAGAACATTATCAACAGATTATAGATCATGCAAGCATTTTGCCATGAAAGGGCTTACATTCGTTCATACACACAGGTAATTAATTTATATGATAAAATATACTCACTTTTCCACTTAGACATAAGAAAAGCAAGCTGTTTTGAACTGAAATACAATCATTACATCATGACATTCTCATTTTTTTTTTAATTAATGACAAAGATTCAAGGAAAGGATAAAGAAGTCCTGCTCATGAGGCAAATATAAACTATTCATATCTTGTTTTTATTCGATAAACTACTACTTCTAACATCAATCACTTAAGTGACAAATTTTATATATATATATATATATATATATATATATATAAATATATATATATATTTTATGCATCTTGTTACATTTTTGATCAAGCAGTTTTCTTCAAAATTCCAAATTTTAATGTCATAAAAAAATGTGTTAAATGCAATATTATTATTCAAATTTCTTCAATGGAGCATTGCCATAACATTTTTTTAGTTTTCCTTCTCATTTTTAGTACTTTTTATCACTGAAGTCATAAAATAAAAATAACCAGAGAGTTGCAATAAAAATAAAAAGCAACTAGAATAAAACCTCTAATTCTATTCTAGAATAAAAGAGTATTAATGATTATAAAATGTATCATTTACTAAACTGCAATTTTATGCAATAACATATGTTTTGGAAGATTTTTTAGAGAAAATTCAATAAATACCAGTTAAGAATTTATAATTCTGTCATTAGTATTTGCATTAATTCCTGACAATACAAGAATTTATTCATAGTTCCAAGTAATTCTCTGCCTAAAACCTATGTAGAATCATCAATAGTTAGTAAAAAAACTTAACAGAAAAATGAAAATTTGCCAATAAAATGAAAAAGGATTAGAAATGAGAAAAGTACTTACCGAACAAGGAGGCCAGAGAATGTTTTAGTGAGTTGGCACAGGAGGTAAACAACAAACCATTCATCTTCCACATTGTCTCCAAAGTTGAATGATCCATAGAGATGTGGAGGCACAGAAACTACAAGAGGAATAAAAGACATTAAAAATGAAGAGAAAGAGCAGCAGGGAGAGCAGAAAGAGAAAAAAGGGGGGTGGATATAAAGAGCAGGGTCCATGAAATATGAAGTGAGACAAAGAAGGGAATAGACAAAGTGTTGGAATCATGGGTAGGGGCGTATAAAGTGGAAAGTGACAAAGCAGTTAATGTAGCTGAATCATTTGAAAGCAATCAACAATGGAAAAAGAAAGTAGATATTGAAGAAACAAAAAGTTCATAAATATTTTCATAATTTTTTTTCTTTAGATAGAAATAAATTGAAGCTAAATGACTATTACAAAATTTATAATATGGCACCTAGTGAAAAAAAAAGAAAAAAGAAAAAGGAAATAACTTATTTGTGCTATTTTTATATTTGGACTATTGTCTTCCCCTGTGTTATTATTGCAACATTTCACAACGTGTAAATAATGATAACTCCTCATTCCAGAAATTCAGTCTGATACTCCTAATTATTTTGCTGAAACTTTTTAGTCCTAATAGAATTTATGACTAAGAATTGAAAAAAAAAAGAAAGAATCACGTACATAAAGAACCTACAATCTTTAGCTTTCATACCAAACTAAAAGGACAATCCATTTCCAAATCAGTAGGCAATAATATCCACTAAAATTTGGCCAAATTTGTAATGGCATGTTATGGCTATAGGAATGGTTTCCCTGAGAGTGGAAAAAAAGGGATACAAGTTAACATGGATGTGGGAGTGGTTTCCCTGAGGTGGGGGATACAAGTTACGTTACGTTAGATTCCTTTCAGAAGGTATATTTTTCTTTAGGACTTTTTAATCTAGACTGATCGATTAATTTCACCACTAAAAGAAAAAAAGGATGTCAAGAAACACGTACGTGTACGACCCAATAATAAAAAAAAAAAAAAATGTTTTTCTTTTCTTTTTTTTTTTTACAAAAAAAAAACCCTGAATTTAAATTTTCAATTAAATTCAAGTTTTACCAGTGTACGATCTTAAATTAATTAATTATAAATTAAATAAATATATTACACAGGACTAAAACTGCAGATTTTTGTTCTCGGCTTCTTCATAGGAAAGTAACAACAAAACAACTCAAGGAAGCAGACGATCTTTAACATTATTAGATAACAACCAAAATATACTGTTCACAGATAAATATTTATTTTAATAAATAAAAAATTACATGCATATTGTTCCATAAGTAGTAACAAAACGTAATGATAAACAAAAAGGATTTACTTACTACATAAATGATTTTTTTGTCAGTCTGACAACTGAAACAGCTTTTCTTTTTTCAACCTTTTCTTTTACAATAAACAAAACTTGTTATAAAATCTTTTAAACAGTCAATATCTTCAGATTCTCTTCAACAAAATTCTTTTATCTTCCTTTTTTTTTTACTTCAAATACATTTCTTTTTCTTCTTCAGAAAATCTTTTTCTCTATCTTAGGAGCTGAAAACGTAAATTAGAAAACACAATCTCTAGGCTAATAAAACCATAAAAATCTTATTCCATGAAGAGTATCCTTTAAAATATTTTAAATCTTATTTTTAAAGTAAAGAATAATGTGAATAGGGGCAGAATTCCCCGCATCGGATGACTCTGCCAAACAAAAAGAAACGTTGACTCTCCGAGTCAACAAACAAATCAAATGAATTCCCCTTCTAGGGAATTAAATTACTTCTTTTAGCTTCGGAATTCTACCGAAGCTCTGCTAACAAAATATTTTCTTCAAAGTTTTTAAATAAATCTCAGCTACGGAATTCTACCGAAGCTAATATAATTCTTCAATGCAAAAACTCACCCTCCCCTCTTCTCATCCATAAATAAAACCAGTAAATATAACTATTTAAAAGCTAAATAAATAAAAGGTAAATAATTCGATACTGTAGTGTAGTGTAAGTCGAATTATTTTTAAAGGTAGCACTTTATTTTACGAGGCAAACTAAATTAGCTAACCACGGACCCAGTCATCTGTCTTAATAAAACTTTAGTCTTACTTAGCTAGACAACCACTGACCCAATGCAAAACAATATTCCTACCACCAAAACAACACATTCCTTCATACTTACCTTTAAAACATCCACCAAAATACCTCATTGGCTCAATGAAATTTCTAAATAGAAAAAACGTCTTACTCTTCTTAAACGACTGAGGATAAATATCTGACTAAAGAAAATATCTCCTGACTAAAGACTAAAGAGAGACGCCGTCTCCTGTTTCCAAAAAGGCGGCAATAAAAATTATCGTCTGCTTTGCCATCAGACGTCTATCGTTCCAAATTTCAATACATAAAAAATATTTAATCACTGAAGTTATTGACATGTCTTCGAATTTATATATTTTTAAATAGGTAAATTTTTATTTTAACACCCGAGCGCTAATATCCCTTCAAACTTTTCCCAAATAGTCTTATTTCCGTGCAAATGTATATGCTGAACTCAAATCAACAATTAGATATTTAAAGAAACCTACCTTTTTGGATGTTAACGACCCGAAAAAAATCGGACTTTTTCCTAGTCTTTCGTCGGCCATTAGCGGTTTATTGATAAGGAATTCAATGCTGAATTCTGTCGGTGGACGTATACAATTTGGGCCTATTTACTCCCTTCACAGTAATTCTTGTAGTGTAGTTAACTTTCAAATTAGAGTTAGGTGTTTTTTTTTTTTGTTTTCTTTCATTTTTTAATTTTTTTTTTTTAAGAAGAAAGTTAACTTTCAAACTAGATTTAGGTGTTTTTTTTTTCTTTTGTTATTCTTTTATTTGTCGATGTTTACATATATTTGAAAGTTAACTTTATTCTTAAATTAAGTAAAAAAAAAATCGCTTTACGGAAACGCGTACTAATTTCTGAAAGAAAATAGTTCAGCAGTAAATGACGCTCGGGTGTTAAAATGAAAATTTACCTTTAAATATTCCAAAGTTTTGCAAATAAAACTTCTCAGACTTCGGTTATTTATAATTTATAAATGTCGACTTTGAAAATGTGAGACATATTTTTTAATTTTCTGAAATTTTAGCTTCTATTTTTTATTTTTAATTTAAACATTTTTCTAAAGAATAAGAAGAAAAATTGTTTCCAAAAATAAAAAATTTTCCCTATTTTTACGAGTGAGCCAGTCAAAATAACAAAAAAATATTTTTTAAAGATATTCAATTTGTTTTAAATGCGTGATACCTAAACACAGGAAGTTTTATTGATGGCAATTAAAATATTAAATAAAGATGGGATTGAAAACTGCTAATGTTATGTTTCGGAATCATTACGCCAAATAATCGAGCCTAGAGAGAAAGTATAAAATCAGCACCAAGGTGATGTTGATAAAATGGCAGTGCATGGGAAATAACTCCATATTTACAGTTTATCTACTTAGAGAACTTTGAAATATTATAGCGCGATGTCTACCAAGTTTGTTTCGTGTATCAATTCGTTAGTGTAAGTAAGGTTGAACCTCACTGGGTGCCTCTCTGCTGTGTTTTAGAATAACCTACGAAGTTGCAGCTGTGAATTTTGTTTTTAAATAATGTTTTTTAGAGAATTTTAGCATTTTTAAACCATGATTAAAAAAAATATTAGTAAGTAAAAAAAGTAGTAATAATACTCATAGTTGATTTTTGTAATAATTATCAAGTAAACTTGAATATTTAAAATATTTAAATAATATTGCATGTAAAAAAGTTAATGTATGTTAAACAGCTAATAATTTAAAAAGAATGAACTAATATTATATGTAAAAAAATGTTAAGTGTAATGTATGTTAAACATTTTAAGTTTAATTTCCTTAAAATTTAGAAAAAATTTTGATTTTTATACGTAAAAAAAATAATAAATGTCAATAGAATAGAAAAAGATGTTTATGTTTTTTTGTTTGTTTATATCAAATTATTATAAGAAAGCATATTTTATTCCGATAAAAATTTTGATTTGTAAAGAAAAAATAATAATAATAATTCTGAATAGAATGCGTAGAAAAGAGATTATCGATGTTAATCCTATTTTTAATCTTTTGACTTTTCCAAGGTCAAATGGAGGTAACGTGGATAAGAATGCCTATGTTGCATCAATTTTTAAAATAAAAAAGGACATATTCCTTTCAAATTAAAATCAAGCCAGATGGGAACAGGAAATCGATACAAGAATTTCAGCCTTGCCCGACACGAGTTCCTTGATTATAATATTTTTGTTTCTATTTTCGACCAATGAAAACTGTTTGGTAGAATAATCAAGGGTAGATAAAAGCCAAAAACACATTGATACCGGGATCCGCATTTCGTAAGACTTCTTGACTTTACCTCCACGCCAACCAGCGAAACTCGAAAGTTTACGCTTAGGTAAAACCAACGTTTATTGAAATAAATCACGTAAATCTATTTCTGTTGTTTAGTATTCTTTCATAAACCAAAAAAATTATCTTAATAATAAAGTAGGTCCATACAATTTTTTATATGCCGTGTCCTTTCAGGACGTAGGCGATCATGGCTCTTCACTTCCCCATATCCCTTGTAGCTCTCAATAAGTTTCGTGCCTTTGCCCACTCTCCCAGACCACGTCCTGTCATCCACTTGCTTAAGCCCGCCAAGTATGTCATGCGTTGCTTGTCTCTTTTTCCCTCTATTCGACCTGTGAGTCAAGGATAGTAGTGAGTCAGATAATGTGGTGAGGATCAACTCAGTAAAAGTAGCAAATTGGTCTCCAAAATATGTTTGCTAGCCAACAAGAAGAAATAGTATCTAATTTAAGATAACATTGCACATTATATTTAATTTCAATATGTGTCGCACCTTTTCTGTTAGTTCATGCCAAATAATGTAAATATTAATTTATCGAAATTATAAATTTTAAATCATAGTTTGTTTACATTATTCGGACTAGCTCAAGAACGTTTATAAATTTTAAATCAAAGCCTTCTTTGTTTGTTTTTATTAAATTTTGGCACTATTTTGGAGATTATAAGTTTTAAATCAGAAATTGTTAACCGGGTTTGTCTCTTTGGGTCTGTCACTGGATCTAACGCCTTTATCCACTGTGCCATGTGTCCTCTGACAATGGGAAAAATTATATTATAAAAATCACGGATTTTTT